GAGGTATGAGACATGTAATGTTGATACATTCCAAATGTTAACTCATGAGTATGAATATCAACAATTTTATCAAAATCTCATAATTTCAAAATCTAGAATTTTGAATAAATTGGGACTTTTCCAAATAAAACAAGTTTTAAGCGAAATATTGTCAAAATAAATGCAATAGAGAAGAAAATATCTCACCATAATAATAAATTTCTAAAACCCTAACTACCCACATGAGTGCATGAGAAAAGAGTACAAATTTGTATACAATGAAATTACCACACATATCTTACAAACCCATATTGAAAAGGGAGAAGAAATCACTCGCTCAAGAGAGAAGGAATCACAACTCCAAGAAAGAGATGATGACCAAAAATTCATTTTGATGGCTTAGTCGTAACTTGAAGCGTGGAATAACTTTAATGCTTCAACTTTAAGATGAATCCAACTCCTTGGCCTTCAAATCTTAAGTTATACAAATATGTTGGGTGTATAGATACAAGTGACTATTCCATTGCATCTGCATGTGCAAGCAAATGACTTAATCTATTTTTTCTTTTTATTTTTTGATTGTGTTTGTTGTTTGATTTTGGTTCAGACACAATCATGTAATGTTTATTTAGTCAATATATTGAAGTAGCTATAAAATTTTATTCATATTATTGTTATTTTTCAGCTTTATTACAGGTATGTTTTTTAGTTAAATATAACAGATTCAGAACAATTTTTTTTTAAAAAAAAGAGCTATAACGGCGTTTTTTCAAAACGCCACTACAGTGCCAAGGGACATTTTTTTTAAAATAAAAAAATCTATCACGGCGTTTTAAAAACGTCGCTAAATATTGGATGACGTCATTTTATCATTATTTATCGCATTTAGCGGCGTTTTTAAAAACGCCGCCTATACTAATTTTATGACGTTTTTAAAGCGTCATAAACTTATAGCGACGGCCGCGTCCTCGACGTTTGGTGATAAGCGTCACTAAAGGAATTAGCGGCGTTTTTCAAACATATAGCGGCGTTTTTAAAACGCCGCTAAAAGTCATTTTTCCAGCAGTGTAAGGTTCTACGCGGAAAAATTTGAATTTGTTTTTTCAGCTTGTTGACCAAAGATCATTCTTCCCGTTTATTTTATATGTTACAATGTTTCTAGGTAAACTTGTCTCTTGGAGGTTTCAAAATGTGGTATTGAATCAAAAGTAAGGAGTTCAATGCAATCACACAGAAGACCAGATGACATGATTTATTGAAATTTGAAATTTGTATGATGTAAATGACAGTCATAATGAAAGGTGTTTTTCTAAATATATAATTGTTATTTCAACACATTAATCCCTTTGCCTTTGCATTTTTCTAACAGAAAACTATAGATATATTTTGATTCTTGAAAAAATAAACAAAAAACTTGTTTGGTTCTAATTTTTTTAATTCAATTTTCTGAAAATTGATTTTTTTTAATTTTTTTGTATTTTGTATTTTTAGTAAATATTTTTAATATTTTAACCATTTTATTAACTTTTTAGCACGTTTAATATAAATATAATTAAAAAGTATAATATTTGTGAAAAAAATCTATAAAAAATATACTAAATATCAAAATATATAAAAAAAAATATGAGATTTAATACATTTTTGTATTTTGTGTATTTATTAATTTTTTAAAATATTTTTTTACAAATATTTTACTTTTTAAATACATCTAGATTAGGTGCATTTAAAAAGTAAAAATTTTGCTTAAAATATTAGAAAAAATTTACTAAAAATAGAAAATATATAAAAAGCAAAAAAAATTAATTTTTAGATAATTAAATTCAGAAAAATAGAATCAAACAAGTTAAATAATTGTTGGTCAAGCCAACGCTGTGTCACCAGTTGCGTAGTATTAGTTTGTATCCATATGCATGATGTATAATATGATATCTTCCCAAGCTGAAACAATTAACGCCAGGTCAAATACAACCCAAGTCAGAAATCCCTTCCTACTACATAAATGCCTCCTCTTCAAAATTCTTACCAATATTTTTTGGAGTATATTAATAATTCTCTAATAAGTGATCTGTAATATTAATCTATATAAAAATATTTTCAGATTATACTTATCTTAATTTTTAGTTTTTCTTTTTTTTTTATCTTGTTAACGAGTTTTGTGGACTATAGTTAATAGAAGAAATATAATTCACATAAGTCATCGTTCCATGACCTCACCATTTTACCAATGCAAATATGAATGAAAGAACATACTTTTCCTGTTCTTGACATTTGATTTCTAGGGAGATCAACTTTGTTGACTTGATTGATGAATGAAAAGTTCCTTAAGTTTTCTAAACTAATTGAAGTTTTGTTTTGTTATGTTTTTTATTTTGGGCCTGGCTTTTCTCTTGTCCCAGATCAAATTGAAGGATGTTGTTGGGCTCGTGGGGACCTATCACGTGACCCATATCAATAATCCAAACTGTCAATGTGTAGAACTCGTCAAGTACTATACGCCTGTAAAAAAATCACATTAATCGGATATCGATAGTTACGTGATCAAATTAGTTTTGTATAAAAAATTAAAAAAAAAAGATTCACATTAATCGGATATCGATAGTTACGTGATGAAATTAGTTTTGTATAAAAAATTAAAAAAAAAAATAGACAGTGAAAAAATAAAGGGTTGACAGAAAACTGATCCGATGAAATAGTTATTAATATCTGATCAACATAATGTTTTAAAGGCATACAGTACTCGACGAGTTCTACATATTGAACAGTTCAGATTATTGAAACGGGACCTGTGATGGACCCCAACAGGTCCAACAATACCCTCCAGTCCGATCTGAGACTGGAGGGAAGCCGGTGCAATTATTTTTATTTTATTATCACTATTATTTTATTTGTAAGAAACTCAAATTGGACATTGTCTCCAATTTGTTAAAAAATTGACCTGCTCATTCTAAACTTGGATCAATTCTCCTCAAAAATTATCAAAGCTAATGATCAAAATAAGTCATGTGATGGTTCGACAAAAGAGGATTGCGTAGATCTAGTTTTTAACAAATTGGAAACAAGCTAGAAAATTCAAAATGCTTGTTTAGCTAATTATTTTCGAAAATTGCATTTTGAAAAAATTTCAAGGTCACTTTTCAAAAATATAAAAAAGTTGTTTTTGAATTTTTAAAAATTGCTTTTGCAAAAATAAATGAGAACTATAGAAAAATGATGTGTGCTGGCTCTGCTTTTCTTTAATTATTTTTGTTTTAAAAAATACCAAATGAAAAACAAAGTAAGCAAAGGTAAAACCATTTATTTATTTGGGTTTTTTACTGGTCGGTCCTACGTTTTACACTTATTCCCCTCTTAGTCCTGAGTTTTGCTCTTGTGCACCAACAAGTCCTGAGCCTTTTTTTTTTTTGTACCATTTTATCCCTCCCTTGTTTTGGCGCGTTTCTGTTTGAATTTTCCATCAAAATATTGTGTTATGAGTATGGGTTTGTGATTTGGATTTCTGTGGAACTTCACGATTTGCTAATGTATTATTGTGGAGCTTTGTAATTTGTGATTTCGCGCTTGGTGTATCTTTGCGATTTGTGATTTGCGATTGCGTGCTTGGTGAATCTTCCTATTTGTGATTTCGCGTTTGGTGTATAGTTACATTTTTTGATTTGCGATGTTGTGGAGTTAGGTCGACTGGTATGTTTGATTTTGATTTCAATTTCAATGTTTTGGTTCTTTTTAGTTTGAGTTGGTGATTTTGATTTTGAGGTGATATTGTTGTTACTCTGTTGTTTCTGTTGCGATTGAATTTGTCTTTTGATCATGATATTGAAAGCTCTGAGATATGTATATGTAATGAATTTTAGATTTTTCTTTTTTTTATTACGAAATTGTTTTGATTGAACACAGGTGTTGGTTTGTTATTTTGGGGGTGTTGTTGGATTAACTTTTTCAACAGTGATGAATTTATCAGTGAGTATGGGAATATGAGATGAAAATGTTGCATAATGTAATGGTAAGATTCAAATCAAGTTATCATGTCTAATAAGTGTAAGCCTTATTCACTGTTCTTGGTCTTTGGTGGTGTTAACTGTTAAAGTTATCAGTGTTGGTTTTTGGATGTGTTTGAGTTGGTTGATAATTTTATCACTGTATTTGATTTTGTTTTAGGGTGTTTGAGTTGTTTCCTGAAATATAATTGTTGTTTATTGCAAGATTTATAATGATGGAGAATTGTTTGTTTCTTATGTGCAAGTTTAGAGGTGTGACATTGGTTATCAAGTATAATGATGGATTTAATTTCAAGGATTTAGTATATAAATTGTGTGCAAAGTGGAGTGAGTTAGTTGGTAGTTCTTTGAATATATCGTATTCAATGCCTAGACATTCTTGTTGTGGTCTACAAAGTGAAGAGGATTTGGAGGTTATGGTTGGACTGACACTTTCTTGTGATATTCATCGTATTGATGTTTTTGTAAAATGTTGTTCTTTAGGTGAAGGTTATATGATTTGTGATGGTGAAGCTAGTAGTAGTAGTAGTAGTAGTAGTAGTAGTAGTAGTGTTGTTTGTGAAACTGATTTTTCGCCTTCATTTTATTCAAATCAACGGAAACCTTTGCTCTCCGATTGGTGGGTTAATTGTATGAAAGGAGTGGGACAAATGTTTGCTCAAGGAGTTGTTGAATTTCGAGATGCGTTGCCAAAGTATTCTATTCATTTCGGTTTTGATTTTGATTTGTTAAGAATGATAAGGATCGTGTCACTGTTCATTGTAAGAGAATGGCTGATTTGGGATGTTTATGGAGCATGCATGCTAGAGTGGAAAATTATAGTAAAGCTTTTGTTATTAAACAATTTGATGATGTTCATACTTATGGATCTTCTTTTCGTACAATTAAACATGCTAGGATGACTTCAAGTATGATTGGTAGGCTAATTTCAAGTGATATTCGTAATAAGGCTTTGACATCGGCTAGTGAGGTGGTTTGTCATTTCAAGAACCATTATGGAACATAAGTTTCTATCGGCGAGCTTGGATGGGTGTTGAAAAAGCAAGGGGTCTTGTTTTTGGTGACTATTCATCATCATTTGATGATCATCGTTGGTATGTTGATGCCACTAATGATTGTAATCCAGGGAGTGTTTTTGATATGGAATTTGATGTTGATAGTAAAGGAAGACATTTCAAATGCTTGTTTTTCGCTTTTGAGGCATATATTCATGGTTTCAAGTATTGTCGGCCTGTGTTGATGCTTGATGGAACTTTCTTGAAAGGAAGACACAAAGGTTGTTTATTGGTTGCTACGACAAAAGATGATAACCAAGGTATATTCTGTGTCTATTTGTTGTTATTATTAAAACAGTGATAATTCTATCATTTTTGTTACTGGAGAGTGTTGATTATTGAGTATGGTCAATCTATTAGTGATAAATTTATGCTGTATACTTTTGTTAAATTTTTATATTTATATAGTGATAAATTTATCTATGGCTGGAGCTATATGTTATATACTTTGTGTTTTGATTTTCTTTTTGTAATTTTTTTAATTTGTTATTGATAACGTGTATATATATTTTGTTTGTAGGTTTATATTCGTTATGTTTTGCGATTGTTGATAGTGAAAGTTATGACAGTTGGCATTGGTTATTGTCAGAGTTATTAGTTATTTTGACTCCGGAGAGGGATATTGTGTTTGTTACTGATTGACATGGAGGTTTCCTGAAAGCTTTAGCCGTGGTTTTTCCATTTTCTTCTCATTCTTTTTGTCTAATGCATTTGAAGACAAACTTGAAGACTTATTTGTCAGTGAAGAGTCGTGAATCTAAAGAGTATTTGATTACTTTTTTAGTAGATGTGCATATGCTCCTACTACTGAGTTGTTTAATGAGCTATTTGAAGAATTTAAGGGTTGTTGTGGTCGTAGTGTTGAAAAGTTTCTTGAGGATTTGCCTAATAAGTGTTGGTGTAATGCTTATTTTCAAGGCAAGAGGTATGGTGAAATGTGCACAAATACTGTGGAATCTTTTAATTCATGGATTAGGGATGAACGCCATTTGTTTTCAACTAGTCTTGTTGATACTATACGGGTGAAACTAATGGAGCAATTTTCAAGAAGGAGAGAAGTTGGGAATAAGTGGAATCGTATTGTTTGTCATTTTGCAGAGAAAAAATTGGAAGAAGCTTTTAATGATACAAAAGCATGGATAGTTAAGAAATGTAGCGATGACATTTATGAAATCCAATTGGATCATTCAGTTGTGGTTGATATTGGGAAACGTTCTTGTTGTTGTCGATTGTGGGAAATTGATTCTTTTCCTTGCAAACATGGTTTTTGTGCAATAAAGAGGAGTGAAAAGGATCTGAATTGTTTTCTTGATGATTACTATCGTGTTAGTAGTTATTGTGATTCTTATTCACATTCTATCTATTCAGTTCCTAGTATGTGAAAGCCAAATGTAGTTGTTGATAATGACGTTGTTTTACCTCCTCTTTGTAAGAGACCAGTTGGACGTCCAAGAATAGAGAGAATACCTTTTAAGGGCAAAATCAAAAGAATTAGGTGCAGTAGGTGTGGAAAGATGGGAACTCATAAGCGGAAGACATGTAAAAAAGCTTTGCTTTAGTTGTATTGATTTTGATTGAATTACTTTGTTGAGAGTTGAGAAGTGTTACTTGCATTGAATGATTGAGTATTTTTTGAAAGATGTATCATTTTGGTACTTGCATTGAATGATTGAGGAATTTGTTGAACAGAAATTATATTTTTTGCTGATATTTTTATAGGATTAAGTTTCACAGATTTATATTATTTGATTTGGGTTAAATGTAGTTGCTGTTTTTGGTGTTTTATACAGTGATAAATTTATCACTGGTTGGTTTGGACAAGTTGGTGGATTATTTTTTTGTAAGAATGATAAATTTACCATTATCTGAAGGAAGCAATCAAGCATTAATGGGGTTCCTGAATTTTGTTATTTTCAAGAATGATAAATTTATCACTGATTGTATGGGAAGAGTTGACGGTTCATTACATTTATGTCAGTGGTTGATAAATTTATCACTGTCATATCCAAGCAAATGTTTTTTTTACAGGGATAAATTCATCACTGGCTTAAACTCAACAAAAATCAATTGATGTCACTAGTTATACAAGTTTTTAGTTTTTCTGTGCCTTGATTAATTCAAACAAGAATACTTCCTTGCTTGTTAGATAATGCATCCCTCAGAAACACAAATAATTTGTGCACTAAATTTATAATGACATATGCTAAACCTCTTTCCAGTTTTTTTCTCTTCACACTGTACCTTATTTACTCTTGGTTGATTGCTGATAAAAGGAGAAGAAAGAAAATGAATATATATATGTACACATATATCCTTTTTTCGTCTTTTGTTGTTTCTGAGTGATTTTATATAGTGGATGTCTTTTATGAGATTCAAATAACAGTAGATTTGAGATTCAAAGTTTGAATACGATTTTTCCCATAAGTCTTTCAGCATTCAAAGGAGTAGATCTTTGTATATTACTTACTTATAGGAAGCATTTTTTGTCTGGAGTTATCTACTTTTTTCACGAAAATTTTCACAATACAAAGTTGTAGATCAAATCTCTAGAATACATAATTGTACATCTGTTTTGTTAACTGCTTGGCAAAGAAAAAAAATTTAGATCAACTACCATGTTTATCTGGTTTAGCAACAAGTTCTCAATCTACATACTGTTTTGTGGTCACTCAGAAGCAAGCTTTGGATGTTTGAGTTGTTTAACTGAAGTATCAAATGGTTTTGATTATTCAGAAATCACCAAGGATGGTATGTTCTTACATTCATTCTCAAACTTAGGAATATCTACAAATTGTAACAGTATTTTAATTTCCAATTTGGACAATGTAATAGTGTTTGTGTTTTAATTTTTAATTTTGGTAAATTTTTTATTATTTTTTATAATGTTTTGTTTGCTTGAATTGGGGAAAAAGAATGAGAGAGAGAGAGAGAGAGAGTTGCTGGTTTTTTTGTTTGAACAGTGGTAAATTTATCGGTATTCATAATGATAAATTTGTTGAAATAGTGATAAATTTATTAGTGTAAACAAAACACTATAAAAAAATAAATTTATCATTATAGTGACTCTAAACCTGTTATTAACCTTTAAATTCGATACAAATAATCAAATTAGAATCAATATTTTGAATGAAATTTGCATAACAAGACTGATATCAAAAGCCAAATCTGGTAACAATATGGCTAAAAAAGACTGAATGTTTCATTGAAGCAAATTTGACATTGTAACAACCAAGCACTGTCCATAACTTTGACATTTTAACAATCAAGCATTGTAATATTCATTGGAGCAAAGTAAGAACCAAAATCATCAAAATACAGGTAACACTGTAACAACCAAACAAGCAAAATGTATGAAGTCATCAATGTTCCAGATCTGTTGATTATTGCAGAGGCAAGTCATCAATGTTTTCATCAACTATTTGTTGTTGAGCAGCTTGTTGGTTAGTCAAGAAGATAGTTAACATATCAACTCTCAATTGATTGCATTTTTCCTTAGAAAAAGTAGGCATTATGTTGTTTTTGGAAACATATTGCCTCATGATATACCAAACAATGATTCCACAATCAAGCCTGCAAAAAATATTTTGAAATCAAAATATTATAATTTAGTTTCGTTGCTTTTTTTATTTTTTATTTTTTATAACAGTGTTTTGTTATTGATAAACTTACGACGTGCCTTCTTGTTGTGGGTTGTTAATGACGCTCTCTGTCTCCTATTGAAATTTATCAGGGTTGATGAGAGTTGGCTTCTCATCCTTTATGTACTTGTCAATAATCTCTCTCTACAACATATACATTTGTATAATTGTTCTATTAGAAAGTCAGTTGAAACAATTAATGAGAAACCATGGATTTAAAGAATGATAAATATATTACTGTATAAATTTTTGATGTATAATTAAGCATGGATCAGGATTGATGTATTGGATGAATGGTAAGTTTGATAGTGAAAACATTTTTACCACTTCATTTGCTGCATTGAAGTGTGGATCTTTAGACGTTGCTCCCTTTGGTCTCATGGAATTGTAGAATTTCTATGAACCTTCTTCAATGTCAAGGACAAGTATTGTCCAATGAAAATTTTGGTGGATTGGAAAGAGAAGGTATCTTGCTTTCATAGCTTCAGGCATCAATTTGTTCAGCATTCTCTTTCTTGCTTCCTCATCTTTTGTTATCATCAAGTGCTAACCAATATAAATAAAATAAATAATGTTAATTTAACTTTAAACTTTTTCAAATTAAATAGGTGGCGAGTATGAAACTTTTTGTCAATGTGATCAAAATTTTATCAATCCATATCAAAATTTATCACTGCATTGCAAAATGCATCTATACTACATATAAAGGGAACACATCTATTGGTGTCTTGAGGCCTTTTTTTCTCTTCCACGGCAAATGGATCTTTATATCCCCTAATATATCTATACTATTATTCTCTTTCATTCTGTAAATATTCATAGATGATCTGTAATAGGCTATATATCCATACTGCTTATTTCAGGTATACTCATGTGAGTGTGCGCATCTACTAATATATATATATATATATATCATGATTCTCTCCATTCTATAGTTGTAATGAAAGATGTCCATTACTTAATAAATTACATCAAACAAGAGCTCTATGAGGCTTCACCACTAACAAAATGAAAGTGAACTATGTCCTGCAACATCATAGCATGTAATCCAGCTATTTCAATTTCAACAGATCTCAATATTTGTTGAAGTTCTCAATATCATATGTAGTAGTTTCAAAAACCCAAAAAAGTGCCCAGAATTTGTAATCAAAGACTGGGATTTACTCATACTGTGGCGCCACAATAACAAGGTCAAAATATACAACAGTGATTACAAAATCTGAGTCAGAAATTCTGGTTTAGTTTGCTTGACTTTTTGTTTCACATGTCAAGATTTGAATTAGGAAACAGGGCCAATTCAAGAGGGAATGTAGTGTCATATGTTTGAAACTAGTTACTCAGTTAAGCAAACAGTGGTTATACACTGATAAAAAACAAAACAAGTGTTGTTCCTCAGTTAAGTAAACTAGTTACTTACATGGCAACTTGAAATAAATATGAATGATGTTCCTTGTTTTTGTGCCAGCAAGTGTTCTGCATACGCATAAACAAGGAATTAATATAAATCAAACACTAAAATGTTATTTTAATGAGTTACAAATTCAACTTACAATGCCTGCCAAATCTTGACCCTTCAATATTTTGTCAATGTCATTTAAGTACACATAGGTTGCATGGTCAGTCCCTTGCCACACTGGCTGATCTCTGAAAAAAAGGTTATTAGTGTTGGAATAATAAATTTATTAATATTTTGGAATATTTGATACTTATAAATTCAATACGAGTTAGTGATAAACAATCAGCAAAAGTGAACTACAGGAGTCAAGAGAGAAGATTGTTACTTTTTCTTTGTATTCGCCCAATGTGCAATGAGATTTTGCCTTGATTTTTTTGGTCGGATGTTGAAAATTTTGTTTGAAGTTTTCAATTTCTTCATTGCAGGCTGTTCTTGTGTGTGTTGTTCTTCCGAGTACTTGTTTGCCTCAGCCAAGGTTGCAGTTCTCTCATGGAGTATCTTGATTTCTTCATCTTTCCTTTGCATTTGATTTTTTGTAGTTTTCTGTTGATCTTGCATTTCTTTGTTCAGCTTCTTGAGTTGCTGCTGCAGGTTATCATTTGCAGTTTGAAGGATGTCCCTTTCCATTTGTAACCTTTCCATTTTGAGCATATCGTTTTCTATCTTCTGAAAAACAAGTACTTCTACCAGATTTGGATCCACTTCAGGCTCTTTGTCAACTTTATTTCCTTTACTCTTTTGTGATTCAAAAGGTACTGTTTTCCTATTCTTTTCAGGGCATATTTTGTGTGGAATTAGTTCCCATGTTTCATGTTTGGATTTGTCTTGAATCAATGTTTGTTCTTCTTTTTCAAAATTTTCAGTTTGATTTTGTTGCTAAAAATCAGCATCTTCATCCTCGTCTTCATCTTCATCTTCATCTTCATCTTTATCCTTAATTTCTCCTAGCAGCATTCGGTATATTTTTTTTATCTTCATCTATGTGCTTCAAATTGTTCTCCTACATAGATGAAAATTTTAAAAATGAATGATATGATACAAATTTCAGATATAAATTTCTCATAGCAAATTTTATCACTCAATTAGGAAAATTAAACAAATCTATGATTGTTATAGCAAATTTTATCACTGAACTAGGCATAGTAAGCAAATCTGTCATTGTATAGCAAATTTTATCACTGAATTAGCAAAAGCAAGCAAATAAAGTAAATATAAGACAAAATGTCTAATTCAATTCATTTTTACAGATAAATTTATCAATACAGAAACCTAATAAATTCTAGTCGAA